GTCCCACCCACAGAACATCTGCCTGCGTCCCATCCACGGATCATCTGCCTGCGTCCCATCCACGGAACGTCTGCCTGCGTGCCATCCCATAGAGCATCTGCCTGTGTCCCATCCATAGAACAGCTGCCTGTGTCTCACCCATAGAACAGCTGCCTGCATCCCATCCACAGAACATCTGCCTGTGTCCCATCCACAGAACAGCTGCCTTGTCCCATCCACAGAACATCTGCCTGTGTCCCATCCATAGAACACCTGCCTGCGTCCCATCCACAGAACATCTGCCTGCGTCCATCCACAGAACGTCTGCCTGCGTGCCATCCCATAGAACATCTGCCTGTGTCCCACCCACAGAACGTCTGCCTGCGTCCCATCCACAGAACAGCTGCCTGTGTCTGACCCATAGAACAGCTTCCCTGAGAACAGAAACTCAGTACCTACGGGGAGAGTTTCTAAGTGAGACATGGTTGGGGAGGACTTGGGGTTGGTGAGTTTGGAGGTGCTGAAGACAGAGGCCACCTGGACCACCACAGCAGCCTCCAGGGGCTCCCATTCTGCTCAGCCTTGTACACGGGGTTCGTGAAGTGAGTCGGCCTAGGCGCTGGAGGTGCTGTGGATTAAGTGCTGAAAGGGCAGGGGTTTGAACCTGGCGGCTGCTCTAGAGCAGAAAGATGCAGCTGTCTGCTCCCACAAAGGCTCACACACTCCAGGAAACTCCCAGGAGCAGTCCCACCCTGTCCTATAGGGACAGCTCAGCCAGATAGGTGGGGGGCACGGCTCTTACCTGTCTCAGGACAGCCTGCAGTTCCTTGATGGACCACATGTCAGACAGGAGGAGGCGGGCAGCTTCTGCAGCCTTGGGGGAGGAGCTGGGCGGGTGGGGAGTTCCTTTGTGAGGCACAGGGTGGCCCACACTCCACCCTCCCACCCTCACCACCAGGTCTTAGAAACTTGGGAGGCCCCAGAGGGCACAAAGAGAGGCTCCCCATTGGCATGGTGACCTCTGGCCATTCTACACAGCAGTACAGCCCCAAGCTCCTGTCCACCTGGAGGCACCCCAGGATTCTACTGGAGGGCTCCCTTCGACCCATCCCCAACCACTGCTCTGTGGGGACAGAGCCCCACGGAGCAGGACAATGCTCCTACACAGCCAGGCGGACAATTCTAAGCCTCCTGCTGGCCCTCTGAGGAGGCAGTGCCCCGCTGTGTCCCCCAGCTAAGATCCCCTCTGGGCATTCCTGGGGGCTGATGCTAAGCCTTAACATCCCAGCCCTCAGCTTCTCGGGGAGCCCCAGCCCCGGCCTGCACTGGGTGCAGCTAGGAGCGGGAGCAGGGCTGCGGGCCGTGGGCTGGGCCCACCTGCTGCGGCACAAGTTGATGAGGTTGTTGAGCATGCTGCTGGAGAAGTGCTGCTTGGCCATCTGTGGCTGGGAGGCCATCAGGTTCCTCACGGTGTAGCAGGCCGACGACAGGATGTCCTCGGAGTTGTTGGTGTTGCTGGTGTTGCTGGTGAGGAGCCTGGCCACCTCTGGGAACACTTGGTTCCCTGGGAGAACAAAGCAGAGGGAGGTTCGGGCTCAGGACGGCCTGTGGAGGGGCAGAGGGGCGGCGGGGCTGTGCAGTTCCCTCGGGAGCCAGGGGCCTGGACAGTCCTCACCCAGTTTCTGAGCGAGGCCGCTCCCCAGGTCGTTCCAGCTCTAACTCAGGGGCCTGAGATCCAGCCCAGACTCTACAAACCTGCTACTCTTCCACCCCAAGGTGACCTGCTCTCCTGGCCAGCTTCCCCGGCGGGAGTGCTCCCCCCCCAGGATCTGGTTAGAGATCTGCACTCAGGCTCTGGAACCTAGAGGGTCTGCTAAGGGGGTCTGCTCCCCCTCCAGCCAGAAAGGAGAGACACCTGGGTGGGGGTGGGGGTGGAAGCCCGTGGGGGCGGCACGTACCCATCACTCTGTGCAGCACCGGGTGGCGGGACATGTTGCTCAGGAGGGAGGCTCCAGACCGCACCACGTCGGAGTTCCCGGACTGCAGGAGGCGGGCAATCTGCGGCAAGCCCTTCTCCTTCAACCCAATCAATTGGCTCATGCCATTGGACATCTACAGAGAGGATGGAGTGAGAGCCGGGCCCACGCCCGCACCTCCCTGGGCACCCCGAGGACTGAAGAGGCCGAGGGTCCCCAGAGCCCTCTCCAGGGGCTTTCTCTCGCGAGAGTCGGAGCATGGCAGAGATGCACCACCTGTGCTCTTCACACTGGGAAGAGGGCAGCACAGCTGTCGAAACACACCTTCCCCTTCCCTGGCGCTGATGCCCGCTCCCTGGGGATTTGGGGACCATGGGGTGGGGACAGGGGAACCTCAGTTCACTCACCTGTGGGGGACCCAGATCAGCTTTCAGGCCCGCTCACCCCTCACCCCTCTGTCTCAGCTACACCACCCCCCATCCTCCCCACCCACAGTGTGGGTCCTCCCAGGAAACTGTGGAGGACATCTGCCTGGAGTCTCCTAACGCCCCACTGCACGCAGCTGCTGCTTGATTGCTTTCTGCTGACGGTGACCCTGTGTGTGTGTGGGGGTGGGGGGACGAAGCAGAACTGCTCCCAGAGGGCTTTCCAGTGTGTGACCTCTGAGAAGCAGCTCCCAGATGTCTTGCAGGGCACCTCTGAGCACACGCAAAGCGCCAAGCTTTCAGCTGGTAGCTGAGTGCTTATGCTGGCACCAACCTGGAAGCCTTTCCAAGCCCTTTACATTGCCAGAACTTGTGTGTGCATGTGTAGGCATGTGTGCGTGTGTGCATGTGTGTGCGTATACATGTGTGCGCATGCGTGTGTGCATATACGTGTGTGCGTGTGCATGTCGAGCACTTGGCCGAGACAAAGAGCGCACAGAGAGGGTTGAGGCCGGCCCTCAGGAGCTGTAATCCAGTGTTGCCTGGGCACAGGTCAGCCTCGGCTGGACCTCGAAGGGGCAAAGCCAACCTGGACCTTACTGAGTCCCGGCTAGTGCGGCATTCTCTAAGACCACTAGCCTCATACCCTCAGCCTGCAAAGTTCTCTTACTCATTATTCACCCTGGCCCTGCTGCTGCTGCACAGGCCCTCTTGTGCTTGGTGAAGACAAAGAACAACTCCCCTACGGACCCTTCCTGGAGTGCAAACCGGGGCCCTGCAGCCCCACTCCCTAGCAGCCCGCTCCTCAAATGACACTCGACCCTCAAGGCCAGGCTGCTGCTGCCACATCGCCCCCAAGCCTCTACTTACTTCCCGGTCCATTCAACAAATGGGAGGCTCCCTGTCATGGGAAACCCACATACGTGTTGGAGTCCTACCTCCTACACCTGTGGACAAGTCCTGGTTGGACAGGCGGCTTTATGTGCTGCGTCAGGGAGGTTGTATCGATGTAGGGTGTATTCTAAACCGAGTCACGTCTGAGTTATAAAAGGGGAGCGCAGACAGGGAGCAGACAGACACACGGGAAAGGCGGGTGCTATCTGAGGACGGCAGAGGCAGATGCGTCTTGGAGCCGAGGAACACTAAGGATTGCCGGCAGCTTCTAGAAGCGTGGTGAGGCAGAGAAGGACCTCGCCAGAATGCCAGGCCCTGTATTTGAGTTTCTAGCTTCCCACACTGTGAGGAGAGACGTTTCTGTCCCTAAAAGCCAGCACACTGGTGGTGGTTCTGATACAGTTGCACCAGGGGATCGTGATACAGACATGCTCTTCACCCCGGTCCCCGAGCCAGGGACAGAGCCCCGGTGGGCCAGCTGGGGGTGCGGGCAGGGCGTTCTAGGAGGAGCCCAGGGGCAAAGAGGAGTCAGTGGCTAATGACAAACCACAGACGTGCCCCGCCCCCCATTGGGCACCTGCATGAGTTCCTAAATGGCAGAGGCATATCTACTTCATGAGGAGCCTCGCCCAGAGCCTCGCGTCAACCAAGAGCTCTGTGTCTATGGAGTGACGTCGGGAGCTTCTATGCACTGGCTGCCATGCAGACGGGTACAGGTTCCCGGGGTACGGGTGGGGGCGGGGCAGGCGGGCAGGAGAAGCAGGGGCTGGCCTGTGACTGCAGAAGGGAGGAGCAGCAGCGAGGAGGGGAGGCCCCTCTTACCAGCCCCTTGCTGGCCGTCAGGTTCTGCAAGGCGCCGGCACAGGCCTCCAGGGTGGCATCTTTCTTGCTCTTGCCCATGAGATTCAGGTAGGTGCGGATGGCGTCCGAGTGGTACAGCCAGCTGCTGCCCTTAGGGTTGGTCTCTTCCTCAGGAAGGGGGCAGTCATAGTTGTTGTTCTGGGGACAAAGAGCAGATCAACGGGGAGCCCAGTCCGGGGGACCAACCCAAGCCTTCTGCCTCTCCCCACCCCCTCCGACCCCAAGGTCACGGTTCCTGAAGGTGAGGAGGGGCTGGGGCAGAGCCTCTCAGGTGGAGAACAGCCACCGAGGCAGGGAGCCCAGAGACCCTCTCTGTGTTCCGCGGCAGCTCCGTGGAAGCCGGGCACAGGCTCTGGTCCCCTGTGCCCTGGGGAGGGAGAGCACATGGTCCAGGGCAGCCTCTGTCCAAACCTTCCAGCTGGGACAGGCCACTGTGGAGTCACCCACAGCACTTCTTCTCTCCAAGCATCACATCCTGAAATGGATGTTCCCTAGGCCAGCGGGCTGATCCCGTCCTGCCTCCCATACTGGTGCCCAGCATGAGCCGCCTGGGGAGGATGTCTGCTCCTCCCTCCACAGCACCCTTCTGCCTCTGAGGAGACCGGGTGGGCTTGGGCGTCACATGGAAAAGCAGGCCCTAGGCACTAAGGCTGGAGAGGTGGTCAAGGTCTGCTATCCCAGAATCCTCAAGGGGAGGGGGAAGACCAGAGAAGGCCTTGCCCATCATACAGTAAGGGGGACTGAGTCCTTCCAACTTGGGGATGTTGCTTTTGACCTTGGGGGGTGGGGTCTGTGCTTCCACAATCACGAGACCACAGATCCTTTCTGGATGTGCCCTGGAGGGCCAGGTGACCCCTGGCTGAGACTTTGGGATGGGTCTGTCTCCAGGGGGGCTGGGAGGGAAGGCGGCTGAGCCCCAGGGCGGGCAGGCCAGGGCGGGCCGTGCTGTGGGCAGCCAGCACTCACCATCATCCTGTCGCTCTTGCTGCTGAAGCAGCCGGTGGACGACTTCTCCGTGTGGGCATTGCGGGTGTTGTAGTCCAGTTGGCGGTAGCGGGTGGGCACCTCCGCGTCCAGGCGGTAGGAGAGGTTGTGCAGGATGCACATGCAGTTCTCCACGGACTGGGGGGGAACGGAAGCACAGGGCCTGAGCATCGGCCCCCATCTGGGCAGCCCTTCCCCCACAGGCACCTGCCAGACAGGCAGCACCTCAGGCTGCACCCGACTCCTCCTCGTCTCCCAGTGATGACACTCCCCGGGACCGGGGTTTGAATCTTGTCTGTGTTGTTTCCTGGTTGTGTGTCTTCAAGGTTGACTTTGGACTTCCCGTTCCTCCGCTGCCAAAGGGGCTAAAGCCACCTACTCATCTGAGCTATCGGAGGGTCATGTATGACAAGCACTTGCCTTGGCACGTACAGAAGGACAAAATAGATACAGGCTACTGCCACTACTGGTGCACAGGGTTAAGTATTGGCCTGCTAACTACAAGGTCGGTGGTTCCAGCCCATGATCTGTGCCCCTGGAGCAAGATGAGGCTGTCTGCCCCCGTGGACTCAGCCTCCGGACCCCTGGGGTGCAGCTCTCGTCTGTCCTGCAGGGCTACAGTGTGTCAGCCTCCCCCTGACTCCAGGGAGCTCGGGTTTGGGGAAGCTGGCAGAAAAGAAGGCGCCATCTCAGGAGGACCCCAAGGTTGCCTGTGAGCCGCAGGGTGGGCTCCCAGGTCCTGAGCATCATTAGCTTCTGCACCGCAAACCCTCACTGAGATGTGTATGCTCGGGGCTACACGCTCCTCTACAGACTCTGCCCGTCAGCAGACCAAATCCACACAGCCTACAGGGCAGGGTTCTTCTGACCACCTCCATTGGAAGGACGGAGACATCAGATGCCCACGTTTGAAGGACAGAGACAGTAGATGCCCACATTTGCTCAGTCTCCAGGTGAGGGGCAGGTGATGGTTGTGCCAGGTTGGCTGCTGAGCCTGAACCACCATGGTGGCCCGGCCCTCTGGGTGGGAGCACCCTGCATCCAGATGACCCTCTGTTCTGCCCTATTCTTTCTGCCCAGCCCCTCAACTGGCCATGCCTCGGAGGTGGTACGGGGTACCCCTGGTGGCCGTGCCTCAGAGGCCCCCAGGAGGGGCAGGCCTGACTGGCGAGTCTGGAAAGGAAAGCATCGGAGCTGCTCCTAGGAGCTGCCGAGATGGAGAGACGGGAGCTGGAGCGCAGACTAGGAGGGGGCGGGAGCTGGCCCTGCAGGGGGACTGCCATTCTCACCTTGTCATCACAGCGGCTGGCCGCCACGCAGTTCTGGACATAGGCCACCAGGGAGTCAATGAGGCCCGTGTAGTTACGCATGGTCTGCCGGCCCAGGTCCGCGGAGCTCAGGTTCCTGTGGGAGAGGGCAGAGGGGAGGATGGGGAGGCAGGGGAGGGGAGCAGGGAATGAACACAGGCAGAGGAGGTGGAGTGGGGTTGTCATAGGAGGAGAAAGGAGAAGGAAAGGAAAGAACAGAAGGGAAGAAAAAAATCATGTAACGGAATTTTGTCCAGTAACAGGAAAGGCCGAGATGGGGTCCCATCTGAAGCCGGTTCTTTCTGCCCTCTGTTTGGGTGGTCCCTGGCTCTTTCAAAGGGTTCAAGCTAACTGGGTGCTAACTGAGGGGCAAGTCCACCCAGGAGTGCCTCAGAAAGAACCCCTGGTGGTCTGCTTCCTAACACCAGCCCCTGAAAACCCCTTGGAACACACCCTACTCCAACCCGCATGCATCTCCATGAGCCACAGTCCATGCAGTGTGGCTGGATGACTGCCCCTGCCTCTGTGGGGAGCCCGGGTGGTGCAGCGCGTTATGTGTTAGGCGGCTAACCACAAGGTTGGCCGTTCAAACCCACAGGCTGCTCCTCAGGAGAAAGATGAGGCTGTTTGCTCCCATAAAGATTTACAGCAGCAGTTCTCAACCTGTGGGCCACGACCCCTTTCACAGGGGTTGCCTGATTCATAACAGTAGCAAAATGACAGGTTTGAAGTAGCAGCGAAATAATGTTATGGTTGGGAGGGCACTACCACATGAGGTATTATTGAAAGGGCACGGCTTTTGGAAGGTTGAGAACCACTGATTTACAGTCTCAGAAACCCTAAGGAGTAGGTTTGCTCTGTTTATAGGATCCCTTCGGGGTGGGGGGAGACATGCCTCTGCTAAAGCCGGCGCCCAGGCACACATCCGCACTAGTGGGCACTCGAGAGTGCCGGTGCAGGTGGGAAGAAATCCCAGCAGTCCAAGAGGTGCTAGGCCAGGTGCAGGAAGGGGAGTGGAGCTCAGGTGGAGCTGGACTTGGGGCTGGAGGCGCCTCCTACCACACTGTGTTCTGCTCAGGGCGGAGGGCTCCTGCCCAAGCAATCGAGGCCCATCAGTCAAGAGCAGGCGGGGTGTGGCTGCTGTTGCCCCCAGCAGGCCTGCAGCCCCATAAACTCCTTAATTACACAGCTTTCATCTCCTCCCTGCTCCCAGCAGGTTGGCAGGGAGGCTGCAGGGTGATGCCCAAGTGTAGGCAGGGCAGCATGTGCCAACTGCAGCCCCCACCCTGAGGGGACACAAAGCCCATTGTAGCACGGGGAAACGTCACGGGACCCTGTTACACACACACACATACACACACACACACACACACCTGTGCCAACCAATCCCAACTTGCGGACTTCAACTACTAAATCCCGAGGGACTTGCCACACCCTGGGGTGGCACTCAGGAAACTTCATGCCAACCAATAAGGTACAAGGATTTAGTACCCCCACCGGGGAGTGACTCAGGAGCCAATCAGCAGCCTGCTGCCTGAAAGATTGTTCTTCCAGATAGTACAAGAGATGCATTTTCCAATAGGGATATGCCTATCCAGGCCAGCCCACTCTTGGATTGCTAACCTCAGCTGGGCTCCCCCCAGAGGTGGTCCCTGCATCCTAAGCCTCGCCACACCCAGGGAAGCTAGGACGGCCTGGGGTCCCTGGGTCTGGGAGCCGCCTGGCCTGGGGGACTAGCACTAGGCTATGGGTTGTTCTCTGGTCTGGTGGAATGCTGGCTGTGAGGAGGCCTCCTGGGGAAGGGGCCCCAGTTGGACCCATCTGCCCCCATCTCTTACCTCAAGCAGCCGGTGGCATTGAAGAAGACCTCAGGATCCACTGCCTCTCTGGTCACGTTACGGTTGCCGTCACACCAGCCGGAGAAGGGGATGATGACGCGGTCGGCCAGGACGGGCAGGGCGTTGGTGATGAGCTCCTCCTTCAGCTCATCCGTGGATGACAGGTTCCAGAGCAGCCCTGGTGGGGTGGAGGGTTCAGGGACAGTCAGCCCGACACCTGCCCACCTTAGAAGACCCCGGGAACCACGGTACTACCCCTAGGCTGAGTCCCACTGAGATGCCGCCTCCAGGTAGACCTGGTCTACCAATCCTGTTGTCCGGTGAGCCCCCTTTTCTCAACATTCCAACCCTGCAGGCTCTCTGGGAGCAGAGGGAAACCTACGAGTCCTTTACGGGGGTCCCTGGGTCTGGGGGCATGACGACAAGTCACGTGGTCCAAGGGCATCTGATGGCTGGCCATACTACTTACATCCTAGCACACCGAACTTCCTCCCGTTAGTTTCCTCCTGAAAGCATCCCGGAGTTACTTAGCAACTGCTCCTGTGCACAGGGTCTCCCCTTCCCATTTGAGCCACTTGGGGTGACGTCAATCTCTTGTTCCTCTTCCCTCGCCCTTTCACTCACTTACTCTGGTTTTTGGATACAGGATAGGTGTTTATGACCTATTACCTCCCGCCTCCACCCTCCTTACTTTCTCCCCGTCACCTGCACATCTCAGGGCCTGGGGACATCAGCTCCCCTCTCCTGGCCCTCTCTCCTCCAAGTGACCTTGACACTACCCTCAGTCCCCATCCCTAGCCTGGCCAAAGGCAGTGCCGCTGAGCTCCATGGAGCTGAATGTGGCCAACAGC